TTTTTTGTGGTCACTTCTGGCAGACCGTCATGAAATTTGGGCTCTGCGATTTCAAAAAATATCAGACAAAATTCTTGTGATTTGGCTGAACATTTGATACAACTAGTAGAAAATGATGTAGAAAATATTACCGATGTTTCTACAATCGAAAATTACGATCCAGTTACGACGAATGTAGAAAGTCTAGATCAAATGAACGTTGAGAGTCATGAACAAACTTCGGCGGTCAACATGGGACAGCGAGGCATATAGTCGATTTAGAGCAAGGTGTTGTTAAGAAAAGAAGGAGAAAATGTGGTAGCTGCGATTCGTGCCTGAGGAAAATAAATTGTGGCGAGTGTAATTGTTGTTTGAATAGAAAGACAAGTCATCAGATATGTAAGCTTCGAAAATGCTCTAAGCTCAAAATAAAATCAAGCTGTATGGAGAACGAGTCGGGTACCGTCGCCTTTCAACACCCCGCACAGCAAGCAATTCTAATAGATAGTTCAAATATCGAGAAATTAGGACATGAAAATAAATCCTGAGAAAGCAAAGGGGAAACTGCAGTACGCTCTGCAAACGGTAAAGCTGCAGAATTTGCATGGACACGGAGAATGCGCTTTACAAATCCCCTCTGGGACTGATGGAATCGGAACAAGCCATACAACGGAAATTAGCACAGAGCACAATAATGTTCGCATTCCAAATCGTTCCCCTGTGACACCACTGGAACCAAATATAATGACACAGGAAATGCAAATAATAAGCCAAATCTACCTGAATTGGATGTTATGGCGTCTGAAATCAAAGAAAAAATGTGGGGTTCTATTAGTCAACAAAGTTTATGCGATCAGATTAGTAAAATCTATGACGAAATCGTCCATTTTAGAAGGAACATTTTTAATATACCCTCCGGCAGATCGGGAAAAGATTTCATTGCAGAGTTGACTTATTGGCTAAAGCAATTCAATTCCAATTCTGATCTCAATTCGATTGCATTGAAAGCCTTTATGGTGCTTCCATCTTTTGATTCTCCAAAAGCCCTCGGCAACATCAAAGAGCAAAGAACACAGCACGGCGATAAAACGAAGATTAACCCTATGGAAGCAAGGGGACTTGAATCTACTAATGAAAGAAGTGAGATTTATACAAGATCGATTCTTATCATCAAGAGAACCCCGCACAGTAAATGATATCTCCAGAGTTTCCGCCAGATTGCTAATGCAAGGAAAACTATCCGCGGCGATTAAATTTCTGGATAAAGAAAGCTCCCCGGGTTTACTAGATCTTTCGCCGGAAACTTTGAAGCTTTGAAAGAGAAACACCCGGCAGCCAGTGATGTAGAGGACGAATGCCTCCTAAATGGTCCCGTAGATCGAATCGCGTCCAATATTTTCGACCTCATCAATGAGCAGATGATTTATGACGCAGCTAAGGGCTCAGCTGGACCGTCTGGTATGGACGCAGACATATACCGACGAATTTTATGCTCAAAGAATTTCAGTAACGAAGGTAAGATCTTAAGAGAAGAAATATCAACGATGACCAAAAATCTGTTGAAATTATGCTACCATCCATCCCTGTTAAAAAGCTACACATCCTGTAGGCTAATTCCACTAGATAAACATCCTGGAATTCGACCAATTGGAGTGGGGGAAGTGCTGCGAAGAATAATCGGTAAGACAGTAACTTTATTCTTGAGAGCATAGATAAGGGAAGCAGCGGGGCCATTGCAAGTTTGTGCAGGATACAGTGCTGGGGCCGAGGCAGCAATACATGCCATGAACCATGTTTTTGAGGAAGAAGGGACTGATGGAATCCTATTAATTGATGCGACCAATGCTTTTAACCAAATGAATACAGCGGTAACATTGCACAATCTTTGAATAACCTGCAACAGAATGTCCATATACATCATTAACACCTACAGATGCCCCTCCAGGCTATTCATATGTGGGGGAGGTGAGATTTTGTCGCAAGAAGGTACCACCAAGGGGATCCTCTAGCTATGTCCTGGTACTCAATTAACACAGCTATAATGATTCAAACTTTGAAATTGAACATACCAGAAATCAAACAAATATGGCTGGTTGATGACTCAGCGGGAGGAGGAAGATTGGCACATTTATATAATTGGTATAAGCATTTGGAAGAGCAAGGAAAGAAATACGGCGATCTAGTAAATGGTCCAAAGTGTTGGCTGATAGTGAAGACGCAAGAACTGGCCAAACAAGCAGAGCAGATCTCTGGAGAAGAAGTTAAAATTACAACAGAAGGAAAACGCTATTTGGGTGCTGTTATAGGATCAAAAGAATATAAAGATGAGTATTGTAAAGAAAAAATTCAAGGATGGGTACAAGATATCTCATCACTGACGGAAATCGCAAAAAGCCAGCCTCATGCAGCCTACATTGCCCTTACGAAAGCATACAAATCAAAATTTACCTACTTCATGCGAACAATTGAGGCCTTCGAAGAGTACGTAGAATCGATACATGAAACATTGAATGACATTCTCTTACCACAATTTTTTGGTCAAGAAGAACCCCTTGCGAGTGAACTTCGTGAACTTGTGACCCTAACGTTAGCTCAAGGGGGATTAGGCGTACCGAATTTGAGAATAGAAGCTCTTTTGCAATATGCAGCCTCAAAATTATTTACTAATCAACATGTAAATTCAATTAAACGGCAGAATGAGGCTCTGGAACCGATAGAGCAGTCTATAGATGATCTGAAGCGAATGCAGCAAGCAAACAAAGCGGAAATTATTCAGTCAAGAATGGATAACATTGATGCAACACTTTCTCCAGACCTACTGTTCTTGGTAAAGCAATCCCAAGACAAAGGAGCGAGTTCCTGGCTAAATGCGATTCCACTCAAAGATCAAGGTCTAGCCCTCAATCAGCAAGAATTCAGAGACTCGTTACAAATGAGATACAATTTAACTTTGAACGATTTACCAAGTCATTGTGCGTGTGGAGATCGCTTTAACATCAATCATGCCCTTTCTTGTAAAAAAGGTGGGTTCGTGGCACAAAGGCACAATGGAATCCGTAATTTCCTAACAGCGCAACTGGATAAAGTGTGTAAGAATGTGGAAATTGAGCCTCATCTTTAACCCCTTGATAATAAGAGATTTGATTTGAGATCGGCCAATATAAGTCCCGAAGCGAGATTGGACATCAAGGCGGACGGTTTCTGGCTACGTGGAGCTACTGCATTTTTTGACGTAAGAGTAACGCATGTAAACTCCCGATGTAACCAAGGCCGGCCAACCCAGAACATTTTTAAGGAAAACGAAAAGAAGAGAAAATACCAACAGAGAGTTTTAGATGTTGAAATGGGCTCCTTTACCCCACTTGTTTTCGGAACCAATGGCGGAATGGGGTCTGAATGCCACAAGTTTCTTACTCAGCTGGCGCAGAAATTAGCAGAAAGAGACCATGAATGTTATGCAGTTGTCATAGCTTGGTTGAGAACCAGAATCTCTTTCGAAATTCTAAGATCGGTACATGCGAGTGTAAGGGGATCTAGATCACCTTTCTATAGAAAAGAACTTGAAGTGGTAGACGATTTTGGACTAAATGTTATGATTGCAGAGGTTTTTTAAAGAATCTTATACTTTAACTTTACGTGCGAAGTACTCCTTTTCTATAAAAATTAGGAAGAACAACAATCATTATGACTTTCGAAGAGTTTAAACAGCCCATTGGAAAGTGCATGGTGATTAGAATAGTTAATTTTGATCTAGTTTTATTTAGAATTCTTTTAAATATGTATATAGTTAATTTGTATAAATAGAATGATGTGACTGTCTTCTCTCTGCTACTGCCTACGGCGGTATCGTTGGAGATCCTTCGGGATCATTTTAAAAACTCTCCTCTCTTCTACCTCAATTGGGGGCGCGGCGGGGGTTTGTTTTTCTCCCCCAAAGCGCCCCCGGGTTGTGGTAGCAACCTCTTTTGTCTTCCTTTTTATTTTACGATCAATCTAATCAATATATGCAAATGAAGTTTACTTAATCGTATCTATGACATAATAATTTATGCTGAACCTAACACATGCTCAGTTCACGATGAGCTTCTCTCTCGATCTATTCAATATGGTGGTCAATCAAGAAATGTTTTTGCTTGCAAAAAGATCGTAAAATGTTGGCGCTACAAGCTCGGAAAAGGTATTGAAAATATTCCCGTCTCCTTGCTTTATTCTTTAAGTGCAATCTTAAGCGATATAAAGCTTATTCGAATTCGAATAAGTGGAATTTAACATGTGGAAGGATAACAGCTGATTGCTTTTACTCATAATTGATGGTTTACTGTGATGACTACCAGCTAGTAATGGACAAATATTGCGTGGAAATATGTGAACTATTAACCCACCTTCTGCATGTTCGCCTTTTATCATCTCATTACTTATAACTTTTACAAATGAGTAAAACTTTTCAACTTTTGATATCTTATAGATTGTAAATGAGATCAGGCTTTTATCAGCTCACAGAATAACAAGGTATATTTATTAATTTTATAAATTGTGCATCAAAAATTGTCTGCCTAGAACTGAACGAGTGTTGCTAAAGATGTATGGTGTTTATTAACTGCAGTTGGTATATGTTGCATTTTTAGAAGGAAGCATCCAAACAAATTCATTTGTAACATGGTGGATAACAAAGTCCCTCCTTGAAAACCTACTTCAGTCATTTGACGGTGAGTTTCTTACATAAATATAATCAAATATGATTTTCGTTCGGGCTTTCCTTTTCCTTTGTATTATTCCAAATGAGCTTGATAGGTTATTGAATATTGAGTAACTTGTGTCATAGTATTACAGCATTTTACGGACTCGATTTGATTGCACTCATAAATGATGCAATGAACGGTCTCTATCCTATAAACGTTTGAAACTACTCTCTTCAACATATGTTTGCATTAGGCATCTATGTCTAATAAATGCCTCTTCCAAATCAAAACACCAGGGGCCGGTTGTTCGAAAGGCGTTTAGCTTAAACGGTGGATAACCCAAGTTTAAAAGTACTCTAACAGATCTTGTGAATGAATGTACCTGCATCTTACGCATTAAATATGTACTTCCATTGACAATTAAATTATTTACATCGAAATATTTCAGCTCAGTTGTTCAATAAATAGATGATTTTGTTTTCCATTTTGAACTTAATCGTCCCAGTAATGTTTAATGTCCCTAGTGTGGTTGTGTGTTTCAGAGTGTCATGGTTATAATGTTCAATTTTAATTTGTAATTTAATTGGCATCACAAATTATTGATATTTAGTCTTAGTGGTATTTTCACTTCTTCAAAATAAGGTGGTGCTAATGATATAAATGCCTCTCTCTATTAAATGCTCTCTCTAGAATTGGCAGATTTTATTAAGGTGGTGTTGGTCATTGAAAATGTAGATTTACCCTGTTTTAAAAATTTAAGGAGTCGATTAGCTTGTTTCATTGTTCTGTATAATTAATGAACTTTTTTAGTTTTTCTTAGTAAACTAAAATTGTCATTCCCTTTACTTTCGTGCACGATAATTCGAAAAATAATAAAGGTAACTTGATAAAATTCTCATGGTTTATTCTAAAGACAATTGGCTGGGACGTGAACCATTCAGTCTACGTAAAATAGGGACTGTTTATTTTAGATAGATCATAGAAGTTTTAAATATATAGCCTGTAAAATGTTTTGGAAAAGTTTTATTTATTTGAGGTTCAGCTTGGAGGCAAAAATATTTAGAACTAAATAAAACTAATGCTGTCATTCTAGCGTTAAAACCTAGTTTGTTATCTTGTTTGCAAAAATCGTCTATTTCCCACCATTGGGTGTGTTTGTTCTGGGTAACTATAGCAATTGAAATTTTCTACAAGTCTTTTTTACTTAGAGCAACTTGACTTGCAATATGTCATGAAAAGATTTTTATATTTTTAAAAATAAAAATGAAAAAAAATTAATGACCTAGACTTAAAAGCCCCAGATGTTTATTGGATCATGTACAATATGTTAGTGCTTCAGTTGATCTCTGTACTCTTTTGTCTCTGTGTATCTGATATCTGTACTGTATCTTTATTGGTATTATATGATGAAAATGGGAGCTCTTGATGGTTATTCAAATTGTGGGAAATTCCAAATTGATTTTGTGGGCCATCCTTCCAGGTTTGCCAAAAAGCCTGAGTAATTGATTGCACTGGGAGTCTTAGCAATAAAAATGTGCTGACTGAGGAATTTTGTGCAAAGAGCAAGGATTTATGAATTTACAAACATGAATTTTGAAGCTTGTTCTCATAGGTTTAGAGTTTTGTTTTCTTCTGGGGGGGCTTAAACTTTAGATACATGATATCTAGCTAGCAACACTTTCTGACATTAGATAAAATTAAATAGAATAAATTTCCTCTTGATATATAGTTGCATCGGTAGTCATGGTTCATATGGCCGATAGGTGGAGAAAATATTTACCAATGATTATGACCTGTTATGGGTAGAAAAGCTAATGAAAGATAAAATGAACAAGCTGCCATGTATTTTATGATTTTACAAGCTGCCATGTATTTTATGATTTACAGCTCGAAAATTCTGTATTTCGCAATTGCTTTTCCGAGTTGCTCGATATATTATAATATTAACTATAATAATACCGTTTCATGTGTATATAAAGATCTTTTTTGAAAGATTCAACATTGCTCTGATGCAATTATTACTTTCTGGCAAATTTTTAGGGGGGTTGAGGCCCCCCAGTAAGATTTCTTGGGGGGGCCGAGCCCCTCAGCCCCCCATACTCTATGCCTATGCTTGTTCTCATGATTATTTACATGGAGAAAGAATCAAATAAATCATTATCACAATCAATTTTAAATACAATAACTAATTACCTGAAAAATATTGAATGTATTGAAAATATTGATCGTTTTAGAATTTAGACATGCAGTATCAATAATATAAAATTGTACGGTAAATTGTGCACAAATCAGGGGGGGGCATTCGGCACGCCCAGTACGCGGAAAACCTGGGAACGAGGATAGATTTCGGAGAAGAAAGGCGAAGGAAGGAAAGCCCGGAAATTTTTTAATTTTCTATGTTTTAAAGAGAAACTATAAAGTTATTTTAATGAAGTGAAGCTTGTTGAGAAAAAGATATTCCGATTATAAGTATATCTAGATATATATCTCATAAGCGTGTGTTTTTTGTTTCCTGCCTTTTTTGATATGACTTCGTCCTCGCGCATCGAATGTTGGAATTTTCTGAATATTTTTTCGGTCGATTTCTTTCGCATTAGTTCAACGTTTTAGAGTAAGAATGTTTGTTATGCCAAGCATTTATTTCACGTAAATGACGTTCATTTGTTCTGCTTTGTTAGATTAAAAGTCCAGCGAGAAATGAAGTGAAAGGCGATTTGAAAACCACGAGGTAAGGCAGTAAGCCGCCATTTTATTAAATTTTCGTACTTTTTTTAATAGTGTGTTGTTTTTGTTTTATTTTAACATTCTATGCCCCAACCGAACACTTCAGTAAGGGTGCAGTAGTTTTAAGAAAGATTTGTGGTTTAATTTTATTAAAAAATCCGCCTTCAGTCGAGAGGCGAGAGGAATGGCGAATCATTTCAGACCATGTATTCGGTTTTTGACATAATTGTGGGACATGTGTTGCCAAATTGGTTTGTATTTTGAAACATTCGATTAAGTGCTGAGAAAAGAAATGGAAAACTACTTCTTTAAACCCCGTTTTTGTTTTTGCCAAGGCAGGTTGATGCATGTAGTTTGATATATGGGAGGGGTCAGCACCATTTAGTAGCCTTAGAATGAGGGGAAGTAGAATTGTTTAAACGTTGATTCAATGTTGTTTTATCAGAGTCTGATGTTAATATTTTGTGTTTCAGATTGTTTTTGCCAATGTTTTGATCTGAAGGTTTAAAGAACCACTTTTACAATATTGGAGATATGTAGTGGAATAAATGCCTGGAAAGACAATTATTGTCTGACAATATAAACTATAAATTGAAACCGGAATGCAATGATAAGAAAGGGAAATATGGAATAAATGCCTGGAAATACAATATAAACTATAATTTTAAACTGGAATGCAATGATAAGAAAGGGAAATAAACTATTGCTAAGTCTAAAGAACCACTGAAGCTGAAGAATTGAGATACAACAATCTTTGACTGACTTTAGGTGTAAGACGTTCGCCCAGCTATTGTAGACCGCATGGAATCGATTCAAGTCCTTTAAAAATTTGTGAATCAAGATGAGAATGAACTTAGTAAATCTGTAATTGCTGCTATATGTTTTGGCTAAAATATAAAAAAAACTGTTGTATGTCTTCAAAACAAAGGAGCTGATATCTATGATACCAAAAAGTACAGGATTGTTTGACATCAGAAATACAAAGAATTCGGCACACAGAGACAATTCACCTTTTAAAACGAAACCAAAAAACTAGAAGCAAAAAACAAATTGTGCTTCAAAACAAAACTAGAATGCACTGCTTTTAAAAGGTTGAAATATAGGAAAGGACAACTTTTTTCTAGGCGTTTAGTGATTCGTTTATAGTAACATCGCTCACGATGATGTTCGGAGTTGATCGGCATGTTGTCGTACATTATCATACCACGTGATCTGCTAAGATCACATGGTAATTATTGCCTATGAAACTAATCTCAACGTTAAAAAAAATTTTCTTTAGATTGGTGGCGATCGAAGGTGGACAGCAAGATCGAAGCTCAGCAAGATTGAAGATTGTTCGAAGAAGAAGGAGTTCGCCGTTGACTAAAAGGTGGGTTCCGGCGATTATATGCGTAATCTGCGGTTGCTTTGTCCGACCCCAGTAGGGGGACCGTTTGCCTAGAGCGTTTTGGTCCCCCGCACGCTGCTAGTTCCCACTTGTAGGCCTTTACACTAATCTACGGGAAGGCCGTAGGCCTTCCTTAAGGAGTACAGTGTAGCTGAGCCGAACCCTTTTTTTTCGTTTATATAGGTTTATCTGAACAGCTAGTTGTCAAGATGAATGCGAAGACGCCCGGCCAAATTCAAAATGGCGATGCCAAAGAAAACCATCCACCTGGACCGTTCGCAGACCTTTCTGGGCAAGATTGTTGTGCTGTCTGGTCAAAGTTAAGTATTTTACTTTGATGTTTGTGTGCCTTCGGCTAATTGTTGGCCAGAAATGACAAAAAGCCATATACAATATGAAATATTCTGCGTACAAGGTTATCTAAAATTTCGAACTTAATTCTGCCTGCAATGATGATAATCTTTTACTGAAAATTTATGTCATGAGCAACTTCCGCACCTATAGACTGAAGCAGAACTGAACATTTTGTCATTAACGTTTATCTCAACAGCCAGTTATCAAGACGAACGTCAAGAGAACAGTTGAAATAGAAAATAGAAATCAGTTCAAGACTCGCCGCCGCCGAATTCAAATTGGCGATCCCATACACGTGGACCGTTCGCGGACCTTTCTGAGCAAGATTGTTGTGCTGTCTGGTCAAAGTTAAGTATTTTACTTTGATGTTTGTGTGCCTTCTGCTAATTGTCGGTCAGAAATAACAAAAAACCATATACAATATGAAATATTCTGCGTACAAGGTTATCTAAAGTTTCGAGATTAATTTTGCCTGCAATGATGATAATTTTTTACTGAAAATTTATGTCTTGAGCAATTTTCGTACCCATAGACTGAAGCAGAACTGAAGATTTTGTCATTAACGTTTATCTCAACAGCTAGTTATCAAGACGAACGTCAAGAGAACAGTTGAAATAGAAATCAGTTCAAGACTCGCCCGGCCGAATTCAAAATGGCGATGCCGAAGAAAACTATACACGTGGACCGTTCGCGGACCTTTCTGAGCAAGATTGTTGTGCTTTCTGGTCAAAGTTAAGTATTTTACTTTGATATTTGTGTGCCTTCTGCTAATTGTCGGTCAGAAATAACAAAAAACCATATACAATATGAAATATTCTGCGTACAAGGTTATCTAAAGTTTCGAGATTAATTTTGCCTGCAATGATGATAATTTTTTACTGAAAATTTATGTCTTGAGCAATTTTCGTACCCATAGACTGAAGCAGAACTGAAGATTTTGTCATTAACGTTTATCTCAACAGCTAGTTATCAAGACGAACGTCAAGAGAACAGTTGAAATAGAAATCAGTTCAAGACTCGCCCGGCCGAATTCAAAATGGCGATGCAAAAGAAAACTATACACGTGGACCGTTCGCGGACCTTTCTGAGCAAGATTGTTGTGCTTTCTGGTCAAAGTTAAGTATTTTACTTTACTGTTTGTGTGCCTTCTGCTAAAACTAGAAAATAATTAAGGTAGTTATAAATCCAATTTTATATTAATAATGTCTTATTATATTAAAGATTTTCCTTGGTCAACATTGGAAGTGAACAAGATTTCTGCACAGAGGTAATTCGATTGTTTCTTCTAAATTTATATTAGCCTTGCAGCTCAAATTCTTGTCACTACCTTGTAATACATATCAACTGCCTGGGTATGTATTTTGTTATTTCAATAGTATAAGAGGGAATTTGCTGCAACTAGGATCTTTTTTATGAAAATCGTCAGTGCGGTCACAATTTGGTTAACATTACTAAGTGAACTTTGCATCTATACTCACTATGTGTCACCAGTAATAAATTCCTGTGGTGGTCTTGAAGTAAATATAGCAACCATAGTTATTTATAAAAGGATGAAGTAACCATAGATTACCTGACCAAAAACTAGACAGTAATTAAGATAGTTGAAAATGGAATTTTATATTAATAATGCTTCTTTTATATTCAAGATTTTTCTTGGTCAAGAGTGCAACATTAACTGTGGATATAAACTTTACGTTCAAATGAACATTGGAAGTGAACAACATTTCTGCACAGAGGTAATTCGATTGTTCCTTCAAAATTTATATTAGCCTTGCAGCTGAAATTCTTGTAGTGATTTGTAATACATATCAACTGCCCGGATATATATTTTGTTATTTATTATAAGGGGAATTTGCTGCAACTAGAATCTTCATGAAAATCGTCAGGCAGTCACAATTTTGTTAAGATTATAAAGTGAACTTTGCTTCTATACTCACTATGTGTCACCAGTAATAAATTCCTGTGGTGGTCTTGAAGTAAATATAGCAACCATAGTTATATAGAGGATGAAGTAACCATAGATACCTGACGAAAAACTAGACAATAATTAAGATAGTTGAAAATGGAATTTTGTCTTAATAATAACTTCTTTATATATTCAAGATTTTCTTGATCAAGAGTGCAACAGCACATTAGCTGTGTATAACTTTACGTTCAAGAAATTGGAAGTGAACAAGATTTTGCAGAGGTAATTCGATTGTTCCTTCAAAATTTATATTAGCCTTGCAGCTGAAATTCTTGTAGTGATTGTAATATATATCAACTGCCCGATATATATTTTGTTATTTATTATAAGGGGAATTTGCTGCAACTAGGATCTTCATGAAAATCGTCAGGCAGTCACAATTTTGTTAAGATTATAAAGTGAACTTTGCTTCTATACTCACTATGTGTCACCAGTAATAAATTCCTGTGCTGGTCTTTGAATAAATATAGCAACCATAGTTATATAGAGGGATGAAGTAACCATAGAATACCTGACGAAAAACTAGACAATAATTAAGATAGTTGAAAATGGAATTTTGTCTTAATAATAACTTCTTTATATATTCAAGATTTTCCTTGATCAAGAGTGCAACCAGCCACATTAGCTGCTGTGGATATGGACTTTACTGTCAGAGGAAAATTGGAAGTGAACAAGATTTTGCAGAGGTAATTTGATTGTTCCTTCAAAATTTATATTAGCCTTGCAGCTGAAATTCTTGTAGTGACCTTGTAATATATCATCAACCGCAGATATATATTTTGTTATTTAGTATAAGGGGGAATTTGCTGCAACTAGGATCTTCATGAAAATCGTCAGGCAGTCACAATTTTGTTAAGATTGCTAAGTGAACTTTGCTTCTATGCTCCTATGTGGTCACCAATGATAAATTCCTGTGGTGGGCTTTGAATAGATATAGCATATTTATATAGAGCGATGAAGTAACCATAGAATGCGTGACCAAAAACTAGACAATAATTAAGATAGTTGAAAATGCAATTTTATATAATCATGTGTTCTTGTAATATTCAAGATTTTCCTGGTCAAGAGTGCAACATGAGTCGTGGATATGAACTTTACTGTCAGATGTACATTGATTGGAAAGTGAACAAGATATCTGCACTGAGGTAATTTGATTTTGTCATGGATGGCCAGCATTTGATTTTAAAAGCCACTACATTGTTGAGATGACAACAATCAAATTGAAATTTGCTTCTATGGTCACCATGTGTGAAACCAATGATGAAAACTTAATGCTATAACAGCTGAACAAGTCTGGCTGATTACTATAATTCCTGTGGTGGTTTTACAATAAATATCCATGAAAAAGACCAGCAATTACTATTTTAAACTTGGGAGAAATTTTTCTGATTTCCATGTGATTTATTTTCAGTAGTACTCAGAAGGGTGGTACCCAGTTTTTCTGTGTTCAAATTAAATAGTGACATATTTCTGGGTTGAATATATGCATGTGACACATTCTTTTATTGAAAATAGCTAAAATATAATTGGCATAAAACAAAATGCATTCACGAATGTATTGTCTATCCATGAAAGATGGCTAAAGTAAGATAATGAGTAATATCTTTTGATAATGATGTCAGCTTTGAAAATACAACTTTTTGCCTAAAAGGATTGATGAAATGCTTTTTCTCTTTAGAATGAATGAAGTTGAAGAAAGTTGAAAGGCACCCCAGAAGAACCTGAATTATTTTAGCCCTATCCTAGATTCATTGAATATTTTAGTGTGTGATAACATGTGTGAAATGTTATCAATTATGTGACAATTTTCAAAACTTGGATTTATAAAGATAAATTTTTCTTTGTAAAGTTTAAGAAGTAAACCTTTTTTGTCTGGTGGTGTTGGTGTTTTGATTTTGCATGTTTTTCCCTGTGCTTTCACAATTGAAAATATTTTAGCAGTTGCTTTTGGCTTTTTCTCATACTTCTTTTCTCTTTAATTTCTCTCTAGTATTAGTATTTTTTCTAAATATATTTTCTCTTATTATTTTTTTGATGAAATTCTTTTTTTCTTTGGTGTTGAAGAAAGTTGAAAGGCACCCAATTTCATTGATTAATATTTTTTAGTGTGAAATGTGATGAATTATGTGACAATTTTCAAAACTTGGATTTATAAATCTTTTTTCTTTGTAAAGTTTAAGAAATAAACCTTTTTCGTCTGATGGTGTTAGTGTTTTTATTTTGCAAGTTCTTCTGTGTGACTTGACAATTCTAAATTAAGCCTCTTAGTATTTTTTAGTATTTTTCTAAGTTAAACCTATTAGTATTTTTCTAAGTCAAACCTATTAGTATTTTCTTCGATTGCTCTAGTTTTTTTTCCTCTAGTTTTTTCTTCTATTTCTCTTTTTTTTCTTTTATTTATCTAGTTTTTTTTGTATTTTCTCTTGTCTTTTATTCTCTAGTTTTTTTCTGTAGTTTTTCTTG